TAATAATAATAATAATAATAATAATAATAATAATAATAATAATAATAATAATAATAATAACAATAACAATAGTAATAATAATAAACTTGAATTCTTTAAAAAGTCACGATGGTAAATTTTCGGATTTATTTTGTTATAATCAGTTTCCGTCCTAACAATTCTGCTGCTTATATTTGCTTTGTTTTTAAATAATGCAAATTGGAGAAGTAAAAAAAAGCAAAAAACAAATTCACTAATTCAAAATTATAATTTAGAATTTAAAATTATCAGAAGAATGAAAAGGAAAAAAGAAAGAGAGGAAAAGGGGCGAAAAGAAAAGATTTAATTTTGCTATTGATAACTATCAATAGTTTTAAATATTTTTCTTTCAAATATTTTAAATTTCTAATATAATTCAAATATTGTCCATTGCATAAACAATTATCACAATTTACCTTTTATTTTTTAATTATAAAATATCATTTATGTACCTGTAAGAAATAATCAATTACATCACTTTCAGCACTCCATACTTCTTATCATACATCTATTCCTATCATTTATTGCCATCAAATAATCCATCATAGAATAAAATGGTTGATTATTTTTGGTAGAACAAACGGAACTTTGGCATTATTAATCATTGAGAATCACAAAATTTCTTTTACTTAATTTTTCAAAAAAATCAGGATTTAAGACATTAAAATTTCATTTGAAAACATCAATACATCATATCAATTTCAATGGATAAAGTAGTTAGTGAGTTATTGATTAATTGGTAATTATTTTCCTAATATTGGTTGTTAAAGTAATTAATTAAATTAATCAAATCATAATTAATAAATGAATAAAGAGGATGAAATTAATGACAAAACAGATTAATAATAAAAAAAAGAGATGAGAAAATTGTGAGGACGAAAAAACGATAAGATAATTTCATGGATGACAAAAATTTATAAAAAGTTATTTTAGTATTTGTTGCGAATTAATGCGACAAAATTTTATGATAAACAAAAAAAAATACAGAGAATTAATTATAAGAATGTGTAATGATGATACATTAATTTGCATATATAAGATTAAAATTTATCCAAAGTGTTTTCTGCATGTGTAAGATGCTGTCACAGCATAGAATTACGTTGTCACCATATAGAATATGTTCTTTATTTAGCAGTATATGCTAAAGTATCCTACACTAATGCACGCTAACAAAAAGTGCTTTATCAACTTGCACTAACAAAGCCACTATAATCCTTGTAATTACAAAATCAATCCTTGAAGGACATATATATATATATGAACCCATCACATAGCAGGATGACATTCTTCTTTTCTTTTATTCTTCAAATTTGGTATCTTCGAGATTTCCAGATTTATCTTTTGGTGACATTTTGGAATTTAAATTTATGCATCAATTTGTGTTTTATAATTCGCAATCTAATGGTTTAATTACTAAAATTTGAGGTTGAAGTAACGAAAATGTTGTAATTCTGGTGTTGTCACATTCCGCAAAAAAGAAAAAACAAAATTTGAAAAATTTTTCTTTTTCCACAAATACAAAATTCTTCACTTTAGTATTTGCAAAGAGCAGAAGTAAAATAGTTCATATATATGTTCATATATAGTTCATATAGAAATGCAATAGTTCATAGTTCATATAAAGTTACAATAGTTCATAGTTCATATATAGTTCATATAAAGTTACAATAGTTCATAGGTCATATAAAGTTACAATAGTTCATAGTTCATTTAAAGTTACAATAGTTCATAGTTCATATAAAGTTGCAATAGTTCATAGTTCATTTAAAGTTACAATAGTTCATA